ATCTTAAAAGTAAAAATTAGAAAAATCCTTTTATAATACTTCCTTTGTTCATTTTTAATAGATTTGGTTTTTTTTTATATAATAAAATAGATTTGTTCATTTCCCATGGTGCCTTAATTAATTAAGTAGATTTGTCACTTACCCGGAGCAAACGCAAGACAAGTCTTAACCCCATTTAAGCCTCAAATTCTCTAGAAAAATAATAGTCTTGGTCATGCCAACTAAGCCGAACTCCATTCCAGTCAAGCCTGCACAAGTAGTAGCCTATTTTTGGTTATAGTTGAAATTTCCAAGTTTTCATTGGGTATGGGAGGAAAAAAAAGGCCACTTCTCTTCTTTGTTTATTCCGCTAGGCTGAAGTCCAAGATTCCAAAACTTGGCATCCAAATAAAATCATTGACTCTTTCAAATTCTGGTTCTCCAACACGGTTTTACATAACATATATTTATCATGCCATTACAAGTTCACAGGAACTAAATTTTCATTATTAAATTCCATAGTTTCTTTAGCAATATGATTACAAGTGCTTTTGAAGTCCAACAGCCTTCCCCCTCAATAACTTATGTACGTAGTTCAAAACATAGGCTTTTCTTCTCAATACTCATCTCCTTTTTCATTATCCTCCCATTTGTGGCTGAGGCCAGCAACGATGGAAGAGTCATCAACATCGGTGCAATCATCGATGTCGATTCTCGTATTGGGAAAGAAGAGAGAACAGCCTTGGAAATTGCAGTTCAAAGCTTCAACGTGAACTCAAACAATCATAGTTTGTCTTTGTACATTCGGGACTCCAGAAGAAACCCCTTTGTATCTGCCACTGCTGGTTAGTAATTATCTCTTTTTACTGTTTCTGCCTTAGTTTTTGGCCTTTGCTAATGGGAGAAAGCTGAATTTCTTTGCAGCTGAAGAATTAATCAAAGAGAAAGATGTCAAAGTGATTATAGGTATGGAGACATGGGGAGAAGCCGCTCTGGTTGCTGATATAGGAAGCAGAGCTCGAATTCCAGTTCTTTCCTTTGCATCACCCGCCACCCCACCCAAATTAGCGGCTATCCGGTGGCCTTATTTGGTTAGAATGGCGACTGATGATTCTGAACAGATGAAATGCATTGCAGCTATCATATCTTCATATGGCTGGAGAAAGGTTATAGCAGTATATGAGGATGGTGTCTATGGTGGTGATTATGGAAAGGCAGCTGAATTGTCTGAGGCTCTTCGGAAATCGGGTTCAGAGATTGAGTACAGATTGATTCTTCCTCCATTTTCTTCCATTTCTAATCCAAAAGAGGTTCTTGAAGAAGAATTAGAGAAGCTACAAAGTATACAATCTCGGGTTTTCGTTGTTCTTCAAGCATCTTCACCAATGACTGTACATTTGTTTGAAGAAGCTAAGAAGATGGGATTTGTGGGGAGAGATTCAGTTTGGATAATTAGTGATACCATCTCAAGCTACCTCGACTCTTATAATTCCTCAGTTATCTCCTCAATGGAAGGTGCCTTGGGAATCAAGACATATTATTCCGAGGCCAGTAGCTCTTACAGAAGCTTCTATGACCAGTTCAGGAGGATTTTCAGAAAAGAGCAGCCAGGGGAAGACAACTTTGAACCAGGAATCCAAGCCTTAAAAGCGTATGACAGCATCAGAATCATCACAGAGGTTCTGGAGGGCATTACAAGTCCTGATATTAATCCGGAGATGCTGTTGAAGAACATATTATCAATCAACTTCAATGGATTAAGTGGTGAAATTCGTTTCAGGAATGGCCAAGTACTGTCACAGGATCCTGCACTGAGGATCATTAATGTGGTGGGAAAGAAATATAAAGAGTTGGATTTCTGGTTGCCGAGGATTGGGTTCACTAGGAACCTTGAGAAGAGAAATGAAAGTGATCATTTTGTTGGCAATAACTCAATAGATTTAATTGGAAGAGTCACTTGGCCTGCAGAGCTGGAGCGAGTACCAAAAGGATGGGCAATGCCAACTAATGCAAAGCCAATTAAAATAGGAGTTCCGGGTAGAACCCAATTTCAGAAGTTTGTAAAGGTTGAGTTTGGGGAGAATCCGAGTAAGAACAAATATGGTGGTTTCTGCATCGAACTTTTCCACGAGGTGCTGCATCATTTGGACTATGAACTACCTTATGAATTTCATCCCTTCAATGGCAGCTATCCCGAACTGGTTGATAGAGTATACAACAAGGTAATGGTTTTTCTACTCTCCATTTCATGATTTTCACATTGGTAATCTCGTCGTAAATGGCGCATCTAAGAAGACGAGCAGAAGTTCATTTTTTTTTTCCTGGCCAACAAAAATGGCTTGAAGAACAAGTTATTAATGAAGTTACATAGAAGTAGACTAAGAAAATTTAAAATGTCTTTTCTTTAAAAATCTTAGAACTATAAATTTTTAATATTAAATAATACATGAAAATCAATTTATCAATCAGTTCGGGCAGAATTTGTATGTATTGCTCCTCCGAGGTTTTTCAAAGCTATGAATTTTCAAAGCTTGACTTGGTCCAGTCCAATGGACAAAACAATAATAGATTTGTATAGGATCCCGAGTCTTGTAGTGTTTTTCTTTGAAAAAATTTGTCTCTGATAGAAGTTTCCTGCTTGTGTTGTGCAACAAAAATCAAGACGTATGATGCTGTTGTTGGAGATATAACAATCCTGGAAGAGAGAGCAAAGAAGGTGGAATTTACACAACCATACGCAGGGTCAGGGTTGTCCATGATTGTTCCAGTGAAGTCTGAGGAGTCAGCATGGATTTTCCTGAAGCCTTTCCCCCTAGAAATGTGGCTGGTGACAGGTGCCATCTTGATCTACACAATGTCCATAGTTTGGTTTCTGGAACGTCAATCAAATCCTGAATTTGAAGGACCATGGAAAACACAGATAGGAACAGCACTTTGGTTCACTTTTTCCTCCATTTT